AGAGGTATTGGTGGTGGAGGTGCTGACATGGCATTTTCTTTGTGGGACCTGCTGACTTGGCTGCTGACAGGGACAAAATATTAGAGAGGTCAGCTGCCACAGTGGAGGGACGTTAGGGTTAGGGTAATTTTGCAAACTTTATTAACGGCAGGGACGAGAATGGCCGAAAAGTATAACGGGTGGCACAAGCAACCAATAAACAATAGTAGAGGAGCAATTTTGATCCTTTTCCCTAAATTTTATTGTGTGGAACTACTCTCTTTTGTTGTGTGAGGGCACTTGATTCATAAAGGAAAGGTAATGTCAGCGACCTCTATGTTAGAGTAAGTGGGTGAGTTGTAATAATGCTTGGTACTTGTGAGTCAAATCTTGAGGTGAAGATGTTACGCTTTTGTGCTTAGTCTATTTTAAATACTCTTGGTGTGATGAGTTAGGAGAATTGTTTAAAAAGGTCGTGTCTATGAAAAAGTGTAGTTTGATTGCTCGAGGAAGAGCAATTGTTTAAGTGTGGGGCATTGATGATAGGCTATAATTGCGTATTTTAGTCGCTTATTACACTCTAATTTACTGCACTTCAATTGAGTTTGAGCTTTAATCGCTAGTGTTCTGCACTAATGGTGTGTTGTATGCCTTGTAGGAGTGATTCCGAGCTATGTAGATGTTATGGAATGAATTCAAGTGATTTGGAGCTTTGAAGTCTGAGTAAAATCTCAAGGAATTAAGCCGGGATCATGTTTGGGGGTCAACGGATGATAGTTAGAGCGAACGAAGAAGCGAGTAGGCATATTGCACACTGTCTAGTAAAATGGATATAACTTTTTGCTCAGAACTCCATGTGGGCTCCACAATATATAGTTGGAAAGCTAACTCAAAGGGCTACAACTTTCATGTTTTACGTTTTTCCAAATTCTAAGCGGAACAGGGTGAAAAGTTCACGTCAATAGCGCGGTCGAGCTCGTCAGGCAGAACACTGGGCAATATGCGGGGCCCCTATCGCGGTCACGAGCGCGGCCGCGCTAGTCAAACCCGGGAAAAGTGTTTTTTTTCTTCTAGGAGAAGGTATAATTCTTTGGGCCCGACCCTACTTGGTATATATACATGGAAAACGGTATTTTGAGGGTTGGACATAATTTTAGCCCAAAGGAGGCGAAGGAAACCGGGGATTCGACCTAAGGAGGCAAGAACACACTAGGAGCAAGGCGGAGAATTCTTCTACGAGCTTTTCACTTCCTTCTTCCTACTTCCATTATTTGTTATGAATTTTAGTATTGTAGTTTTACATACTATTATGAATAGTTAATTTGTTATCTGGGGTTTTGATGGAACCTTTTGTAGGATAAATTCTTGTTATGTTTTTATATAATTGAGCCGTAGTATTTTCTCTATTTGTTCAGCTATATTATTCTTGTGGTTGATTGAAGGGCCCTCAATTAGCTGTGCCTGTATGTATTACTCGGGAGAGAGTGTATATTTAGGTAGTTTTTGAACAACATTACTCCCGACGTATGTGAGAAATCAATAACCAAGGGTTTAAAGGTGGGATTAGGGATAACAAAACCTTGGGTGCGATCTAAGTGAGTTGTAATTAAAGCCAGCTAGCGTAACTCATGAGAGTATATCTAGTAAATTGTCGTAATTACTCGGGAGAGAATTACTACACGCAGAGCACTCATGATCGGTAGAGAATACTTAGGCGAAATTATAAAAGACATAGCGGGAAGGATTCCGACAATTGGGGAAATCATAACTCTAGACCTCCTTAATCTTTTCTCCAACCTATAGTATCTTTAGTGTTAATTTATTATTTTAATTTGTTAGTTAGCTAGTTAAACATAAGAATCTTAATATCTATAAGTTAGGAATTGTTCAAGCTTGTATTCTTGGTGATAGTGAACAACTGTAGCTAAGCCTTAGTTCTCTGTGGGATTCGACTCCGGACTTGTAAACTGGATTATATTTGCAGCGACCGCTTAGTCCTTTTTATAAGGCATAGTTGGGCGTGATCAGTATCCTGGTACTAATCCAAGTTTCTATCGAGATTCCCGTGGTAATTTTACTGGTGGATTTACTAACCCAACTGATAGAGGATTGAATTATCTCTATTCACCCACAAGTGTTTACTCTTACCAGGTTCCATATGCTTATCAGATTGACAATAACAATCCGGGTTTCTATTTCGTTCAATTTTATGAGGTTCAGTGGTGTCGATGACTGTCGCTGGGTTAGATAGCTTAGTGAACTTAGGTGTTAAGTATGTGGAGACTAATTGCTCACAGACGGATTTTCAATCATTAAAGCACCTCCAGACTCAATGGGTGGAATCGAAATGGGTTATGATTATTTAGAGACTGGTCACCCTCCAATGGAAGACGGAGATTCAGTAATGGAACATATAGAAAACAAAGAAGATCAGGTGTTTGACAAATTGCAACAGCCGTTGGCATTGTCGAACGCCACTACTGGTTTCTTGAAAGTTTAGGATGGAGATGTGGAGGAGAAAAAACAAGAGGATGACCAGACGTTTGATGAAAGTTCTCGCACAAATGAAACTCTGGAAATTAGCCCTAATGAGATCAAAACTTGCGATGTAAGTCATGTGATTCCATTCTCCACCAACTACGTGCTTGTCTTTACCATTGAAGACCAAAATTCTTTGAAACTAGATAAGGAAGTTGAGGAAAAGCCATCAGCACTAGAAAATGAAGGCGCTGAAGTTTCTGAAAACAAGGTATGCAAGGTGTTTGATGAATGTCCTCAAAGGGACGAAGCTAAACTACAAGCTGAGTTTTGGTCAACCAGAAGAAAGAAGGATGTTAGAAATACCGGAAATAGGGTACTTGAAGTTGTAAAGTTATCCGTGGGAGATGCCTTAAAGAATTTTGATGTGAACAATGATGGGAATTTTACTTTACTTGAGTTAGGTCAGTTGCTGCAGGTTTTGTGCGTGAACACCAGTCATGATTCATCCAAAATTATGGAATATTCCTTGTTTGCTTTGCATTCCAATTTCTGTATGGTTGAAGATGTTTATCGTCTTTCTAGAAATCTAGGAATGTTGAATACACGATTGATTGTTTGCACTCATTAGTATCGAGAGTCACTATTTTATGGTACTTCGAGCAATCCTGTGTTTCTTTTCTTCAGTGGCTTACTTAGTTTCTGGTCCGGAATTTTTGTGGATATTTGTGGTTGGATAGGAGGTGGTGGAACACCATCTGTTGATTCCCTATGCACTAAGGCCAACCAAATTTTCTTGCAAGTCATTTCAAGGGAAGTTTTCTATTAAAATGTTTCATGTCTCTCAATGGTGATATCAAGTGCGAACTTCCTGATGTTGGTTTTCCTACTTTGGGAGATTCAGGAGCTGGTGTAATAGCTCCTAGGATGTTGAGACTTGCTTGTTGGTTATGAGATTATCTAAGATGTGGTGCATATGGTTTCCTGCTTCCGTTTTCTAGAGATGCTGATAGTTCCTCCACTGCTGCTATAGTTGGTTCAATGTGTCGGCTTCTTATAAAAGAAATTGCAAAGGGCAATGAGCAGGTAACAACAGATGCCTTTCTAATTGGCCATTACACTGATGGTCAGTTTCAAACAGTTAACAAAGAATTTGATAAACATATCATTAACACTGTATTTATGGGATCTGAAAATAGTTCAAAAACTACAATCACTCAGGCTAAGGTGTTGGTTAATAAGATTCCATTTGTTAGAGCCCTTATGGATTGCAGTAAGAAAAGGTGGATAGAAAAGGATCAATACTTATTTGAAGTCTTGGAGAAATATTACGGAAGAAGGGAATATTGCGATGTTTGTTCATTGGTCTTTTGCGCACTAACGTTTTATCCTCTTTTGGAGTATAGGATATTGATGCAAGTAGAGTATCTGTATAAACATGGGAGTTGGAACTTGTCTTTATGCGTAAACAATTTGAAGGCTCAAATGCTCTTAGCTTCTTCTAGCAAGTCCCTCATTGTGTTGTAATAGGAGCTACAAATATGCTCTTGTGTGTCACTTTATTGTGGTCCACTCACAAATGTCTTATTGGATTAAGGGCATTGGGAATGCGTTATCCATATCACTGCTGAGCTATTTGAAATATGAGGCTTTATTATTAGTGGAGGGAATAGGAAGTTCCATGGTTGAGCAATGGTGTAAGAAGTTGGTGGGTGAACTTTTCCATGTTCCTAATTCATTTATTGTTATGGCGTTGTTGTCCATTGAAATTGAATGGAGCGAGATGATGTTTCCATTACTATCAAGGGAATCACTTTATTCAAGGTTATGGTACAAACCCGAGACATGGTGGTGCAATCCAGATACTATGCTATCAGTGCCAAGGAACTACTATACAATAGATATTGTGGGTCATCCAAATAGGAGCAATGAAATAGTAATGGTTGTGTTTGTCATTCAGTTAGTTGGGCTCTTAAGTTTACTGCACTATGACAGACACAGAGTGGGTTGGCTGTTTATTTTTATTGTGGTTCTTTGGTTTCATTTGGTATCGGTTAATGGAACGTGGAAGGCATCAGAGAAGATCTTCGTGGCAAATAATGACACGGGTGTGGCTACCTCCTCTACTTATGGTCTTGTTGAGAGGAGAAATGAAACTACATTGGGGTTTTATCCTTTTGGTAGCACAATTACTGGAATAGTGAATGTTGTTAGAAGATTTATACTGTTGTTCATACTTCAACATATGACAGGTGCAGTGGTTAAGGAAGTGAAGGGAGTGATGATTCCTGTAGAGTTCATTATTAGAGTATTAACTACTATACTGTTTTTTACCAGATTTTTGTGGATTTCGACATATTCACAGGGCACACATGATAGATCTCATTATGATTATGTCCAAATTGGAGTAAAATATGGTAAGGAAGATTTTTACAGTAGAGTGATATTTCATGAGCGAGAATTCACAATTATTTTTCACAAGCATTTTATCGGTGAAACACTTTTGTCCTTTGAGGAGGATGGAAAAGAAAGTATATGAAAAATTAGTGAAGCTGTTGGAAAAGCTATAAGTCAGGTTCAAAGGTTGATAGATTTTTATGATCATTTGGGTAAAAATATTCATGAGAAGGTCCTTAGTGATAAGAATAAGAAGTTGATGAGAAAAGTTTGTTTGGCCATATGTTGCATGTATAGTAACAAGGACATGAGGATGCTAGGCCAACGCGTTCTACTGGTGTTTCTAGCTTTTGATAACTTGACAAAATTTTTGAAGCAGATGATGATTTTACATGCGTTGAAGACGAGGTTTCACACTGTTACCAAATTTCAACCTTGAGGACGAGGTTGCTATAAGGGGGATGGAATGTAACGAAATGGTGGTACCTTGAGCTCCCAAAGTAGTACATTGATGTCAAAATATTAAAGAAGTGCCAAGTCAGGATGAAGTTTCAATATTTATAGTTTAGTCCTACTTTTTATGTTATTTTCATTAGTTACCCATTAGGTAGTTCTTGCTACTATGTTATACTCATTGTAAAACTTATGTTGAATGAAAATCAGAACTTTTATCTTTTAATTTCTTTTCTCTTTCTTTAAATTTGTCTTTCAAGTTTTCAATGGCGAATCCACCATGGGATTCGCTACATTTTGGTTGGAATTCTGTATATCTTGTTCTTTGGGTAACTTTGACTATGCTACCGAGTTCCTTTGTTTTAAATAGATGTGGTCCTTATCTTATGTATACCTTGGGGAGTGTGAAATACCAAATTTCGTATTACCTTCATATTCCTTTTATTTTTATTTTATAAATTTCATAAAGTTGCCAATTATTGCTATTCCAACTCATGCATTCTGGTCTAGGTTTAAGGTCATGATGAAATGCTGTTCCATTTTTGGAGGTGATGCTGTTATTTTACCAATGATATTTTTATCCGTTGTGATACATTTTCTGTTTTTCTTATATTAATTATTAAGGGTTTGCATTTGTACTTATAATTTTGTAGTGAAAATAAGATTTTATTAAGGCAATTTGATATTGAAAGTTCAATTTATAAGGAGGAGTAGCAACTCAACTTACAGACTCAACCCAAAATCCGAAATAACAAAATTAAATGACTTTAAACCAAACTTTAGAAATCTGAACATTCCGAGCTTTTTTGGTTTATATTTGAATACTACTCTAGCGTTTGGACATTAATTTGATTGAAACTTGAAAAAATAAATTTTTGAATATGAGATGAAAAATGGTTCTTGAAAGTTAAATTTGTGTTTGAACATATCTTTTACTTGAAAAGATTTAGCTAGCGTTTGGCCATAGATCCCAAATTTGTTTTGAAAAATCTGATTTGGGTGAAGTTTGGTTTGAAGATGAAATGTGTTTGGACATACGTTTTCATAACATATTTTCCAACTTTATTTTGGAAAAACAGGTATATAATTCCCAAGTTTTGGGATTTTGGCCCAAAATCATCTCAATAGCTGATTTTGGGATTTGAAATTCGGGATTTGGGAGTTGGCCAAAATATGGGCAAAATTTATGGCCAAACATGAGTTTTGAAAATAAATCCCAAATTTATTTTGGCAAAACTCATGACCAAACGGAGCCTTAAAGTTTTGTGAGTAGAAAACTTCAAAAACTACTCTAAACTATTATTGGGATTTGAAGACTTTGTTTTCAAAATCTGCCAAAAAATAATTAAAATCTATAGACAAACATATATTTAAAAACAAAATTTTAAAAAAAGAAATATTCCCAAATTTTATGCCAAACGGGAGCTAAATCTAAACTTCAATTATGTTTTCATGTTCAAACACAACGGAATTAAAATAAAAATTTTCAACTTTACTTCAAAATATAATCTTTCTTTTCAAATCTCAACCATATCATATGTACATGCCTACTGTGATTACATTAATTACTAGTAGTAATGGCAAATGGGCGGGTCCGCTCAAAAATGGGTAATAAAAAAACGGATAAATCATCCGACCCGGCCTATACTTAATACGGATAAAAAATGAGTTAACCGACGGATAACTTTCAACGCAATATTCTTGACGAGAGTCTAAACTTTTTTATTTCTGATTTAAATTTGAACATAATTAACCATATCATCCATGACTTCTTGCATATGATGACTTTTGAGAGAATTCTTAATCTCCCTAACTTGAGGAACCCCCAATTTAAGGCTTGACAAATGTAAAAGTTAGACCCATTGGTTATCCATTAGTTATCTATTTAGAAAATGGATAATATGGTTCTTATCCATATTTGACCCGTTTTTAAAAATTTATTATCCAACCCATTTTTAGTGGATAATATGGGTGGTTACCTGTTTTCTTTTAACCATTGTGCCACCCCAAATTACTAGTATTACAACTTCAATATATAAAATTAGAGTACATTATTATGAAAAAAAGAATTAAATTAAAACAATACCAAAGAACAAACAAACATGGCTACACAAGGCATTAAAACGTCTGCAAACACTAATCAAATTAACCTAATTAGTACTATGTTAATGATTCCCATTCAATGCATTATTCTTCTCAATCTCTCTACTTCTACGATCTTTTCTACTTTTCAATCTCTCTATAATTCTTCTCAATCTCTTTACTTTTCTACTACCGTCGACCGGTACAAACTTCCCGGCGGAGATCTCCGACTCTGGTTTCAGCTCCTCCATTTCCTTCCACTAAGGCTGTAGGGTGGGCCGGCCCCGGGCCTAAATGGGCTAAACGGGCCGGGGCTTAGCGGTCCCGGGCTTCGTGGGCTCAATGGGTAGGACCAGCCCGTGACGGGCCTAAGCCCATATGGTCCTGGGCTAAATGGGCCGGGGCTCGTGGGCTTAGCGGGCCTAACGGGCTTTTTTTTTAAAATTTTTTTTATTTAAGGCAATTTCTTGTAAACCATATGTGTATGTATATATATAAATTGCTCTTATGCATGGCTATATAAATATATGTAGTATATATAATATAGAAATTTAATTATTAAAGTGTTTGACGAAAATGTAAAATAACAAATCAATAGTAAAACTAAATTGGCATGCATAATAAATTAATAACAAAGTACAACATGAAGCATAAATACGTCTAATAATTTTAAAATAACACAAATTGTTGAAAAATCTTAAAGACGAATTTGCGGATAAATACCCTCAACACAATACTTTATATGCCTCCTTAAAATGCCTGTGGTACACCCTGAACGAAAATTTAAGACTCTTCCACAGTTCTTGCACTTTAATATTTGGCCTTCTTCATTTTCTTCAAGCACTTCATAGTATTGCGGAACAAATAAGCGCACTCTTTCCGAACGAGGCATGATTTAACTTGAAAATTGAGATTGAGACTTGAAGTCTTGAAAATTGGAGATTGAGAGATTGAGAGAAATTTAGATTGAGAAATGAGTATTGAGTATTGAAATGAAGAAGAGGGAGGGGGGTACTTATAGTGTTAGAGAAGGTTAGTTTTGTAAATTGGAAAAAAAAAACCGGCTATTTGTGCAATTAATATGACCGTTGGTGATCATTGGGGGTGGGGCCCTCATTCGTCCAATCTTGATTTGTAAGGATTTCATCATCATCCTCACCACCAACACGAGCATTAAACGTTGCATTAATTGGGTTTCTATATTCATATGCAACTACTAAACTTTCGTACATATAATTCCATCTAGTTGGACAAGGTTTAGGAACTTTTCTTTCTCTAAGGCCAAATTCATCACATTTTTTAAAATACTCTCTAAGGCTACTTCTACGGTTTGAATAAAAAAGCCAATTAAGAGCCATTCTAACCTTTTCAATTTCTAAATTTAAAATTCTCATACCATCACCGACGATTAAATGGTAAATGTGACAAATACATCTCACATGGAAACAATTACTAATACAGGATTTAGTGTTGTTGTAAGTATGCCTATAGCACTAGTGTTACTAGAAGCATTATCCATAGAAATTGCCATTATTTTATCTCTAATGCAAAAATATCTACAAATATCTGCAACAGTGTTAGCAATAAACTTACCTGTGTGACGTGAATTAATTATTCTATACGCAATAATGCGTTTTTGCATTATCCACTCCTCGTCTATCCAATGACTTGTAACAGTTAGATAATCACAGTCATTATTACTTCTACCAATATCAGTAGTAATAGAAATCCGATTAGTTATATAAGTAAATAAATACCGCAAATATTGTTCATATTCATGTTTATATTTATAAATATCGCTCTTAACTGTTGCGCGAGGCCAACCTTTATAAGTAGGATTAAAAACTTTTCTAATATAATGCACAAAATTAGGGTTAGAAGGAAAAGTATATGGTAAGCACATAACAGTAACCATCTTTGCTAATTCTTCACGATCTTTATTAGGATCGTAATATAAAATACCACCGGTCACAGTGTTAATTCCTGGTTGAACTAGATTTGAACCTGTACTAGGGTTAACCGCAGTATCTACACTTGTCCCCTCTTGCTGCGCTTTCATTTGTAAATATTTAACTTTATCTCTAGGGTGTGTTTGTATGTGCCTAGCCAAACTACCCGTACCGCTACGGTCTCCAGTATATTTATGCGCCAGCAATTTCCCACAAGTTTTACACCTAGCCTTATTTTGTTCTCTTACTTGAGTAAAAAAATTCCAAACTAATGATGTTTCTAGGCGTTTAGAAGGTTGTCTATTAAAAGTAGGGGTTTCTACAGGTGAGTCAGGCGGGGCATCAGTTGGGTTATTAACATGACTAGTAGGCGAATCATCTAAATCCGGTTGGGTTTCATCTACATCCTCATTTTCCTCATCATTTTCTAAGATAGTTTGATTAGGATAAAGAGCATTCATAACTTCTTCATTTAATTGTTCACCTTGTGCAACATTATGGAAAAATTCACTATCGGAAAATTGAAAACAAGGGTTATCACTATCAAGAATAATAGGAGCAGCAGGACGGGTAATAGGTCTGGGTCGGGGAGCCGGGGGAAGGGTAGTAGGTTGGAGACTACTTTCACCAATTTTAGCTTTTCCCTTACCACCAAACATTTTTTTCAAAGAAAATGCCATATCAATTACAATTATGCAAACTAAACACACAAAAATATATTCTTAAAACTTAAGAGTTGGAACGAGTTTACCGAATTGCCGAACAACTTCTTGAAAATTGAAAATCGTTGAAGACTTGAAGACTTGAATACTTCAATTCACCAACTTCACAATTTTTCACGAAATTGCAATAATAAAATAAGCAATTATAAAAGAGAAATTAGATATAGATTGAGAGAGATTGAGATAGATTGATGAATTGGTGAGTAAAAATGAAAGAATGAGGGGGTATTTATAGTTGAGAATTGGAAAAAAATGTAATTATATAAAGTTTGGGGTTAAAATAAAGTTTGGGGACCAAATGACTATTTTTTAAAGTTCCAAACAGTTGAAAATTAAAGGCCAACGGCTAGATTTTAAAATCTGACCGTTGGTCTTTTTAAAAAAAAAAAAAATTTTTTTTTTTTTAGTAAAAGAGCCGTTGGAGCCCGTTAGGCCCGGTTGAACCGGCCCAGGACCGCCTGCCGGTCCCGGGCTTAGCGGTCCCGGTCTCGTGGGCCTCACGCAAGAGACCAGCCCGTCACGGGCTTTCTACACCATCAGGGATCGGCCCACCAGGACCAGCCCGCCGGGACCGTTTAGCCCGTTAAGACCGCAGGGCCGGTCCGGTCCCGGTCCCAGACCGGCCCACCATACAACCTTACCTTCCACAACGACTCTTTTTCTAGCTCCAAATTACCCAGCTCTTTCTTCAGTGCCAAACACGCCTCAGCCACGTCAGCACCACTCCCTCGTGAGTTTTGCTTTATCTCCACGTGTTCGATCCCCAACTTGTTAACCACCATGTACGGCATCGCAAAACCACTCTCAGTTGCCGGAAACTTCAAACTCCACTGTATCTTCCCCACCACCTTACCCATTACCGGAAACATCGTTCTCGCACACACTTCGCCGCCAAACAATCCCTCCACCGCAAATAAATCAGCCCACGTCAATTTGCCGCTTTTCTCCTCCGTAATCTTTTCATCCTTAAAGACATTTTTGTTCTGTGCGTCGTCGTTTTTTATTTTCTTCGTATTGACTGATCGTCTTATTGAGAAGTCACCTAATTGAGATTTAAAGTGAAGGAAAAAGCTAGGATTTCCATTATGGACAAAATTAAACTCAGCACTCATGGTCATGGGAGCTTCAATGGGAGAACCGAGAGATCCGACTCCAGTTTTAATAACCAAACCGAATGCCCGGTGTGAATCATTGGGTCGATACAACAACTTCAGAACCGGACCGAATTGGTATAAGGTACTGAAACTCAAACATAAATCTTTGTCTTTGGCGTAATTAGTGCTGGTTTCAATACTAGACCGGAATGGGATACCTAATGTATTTAATGGGATTTTGGCTTTGAGAATTGGGTTTTGATTTTCTCGAAATTTAACTGAAGCTTTCATTATTTTTCAAGGAGGAATTCTGTTTTGCGAGTTGTGTAGAGGTTTGATTGAGGAGGCTCTTGCCATTTTTTGAGTAGCTAAAGGTTACTTTCAGTGTGTTTAATTTTGGGAGCTAGTATTACGAAAGGTGGTTATGACTTGTGACTTATGAGTTCTGGTGCATGCGTCATGCGTGTAAATTCAATTTTTTTTTTTTTTAATAAAATGAGGTTTAATTATTATTTCGTGACGTGGCAACTGTTAAGCCGTTTGCTTATATACAGGCTGCTAGTGGTATGGAATTGTTAAACAAATTGCCGGTCAGATTCAAAATTTAGTTTTTATCGTTGGTATACATAGATTATATAGATTTATACATATATCAAATACAAATTATATATATATACACATTTGTCGGCTATTTTGAATTTAAGAGATTAGGTGAGCTGTTATTTGGAAAAGGCGAAATATATAAACGGCCCCTTCAAGTTGTCCTCAACGGTCAGCCAGACACCTCAACTGACCCGTTTATCATTTTAACACTTCTTCTCCACTAAAGGACGACCTCGTGAACCCTTTATGCTGACATGGCAAAGAGCGTGCTTTACACTTAATTCTAAGCGCGTGAAACCCTCAAAATTAAGGTTTTTTTTCTTTTTTCTTTTAAATTTAACATTTTTTTATGTGGGTCCCATTATATTTTATTTTCCACACATTAATTTCACTTTCTTCCCAAAATATTCCTTCTTCACCAAACCTCTTCCTTCCGCCATTAATCCACCCCCTCCGACATACTCCGGCCCGGTTGAAGAATAAGCCTCCAAGTAGTTACAATGAACGTAGGATTCCCAACAATAAGAAGATATAAACAAAGGATTTGGAGATTAACATAGCAGAAGATGAAATCCCAAAGAGCCACCACCGAACTCCACCCTAAGACCATCGATAAGGTCGCTGTTTTGCCGAAAATCATTGAAGAAAATCGGTAACATTGCTCCTCCGACATACTCCGGCCCGGTGTCCAATATCTCCGTCGCCGGCATATCTTTAGTTCTTAAGATTTGGTTCAAGGCTTCCAACTACTGGTTTCCAGATTCCGTTGGGATTTCGGCAAGGTCTGAGTTCTTCGGTAAGGTTTATTTAGTCCATCACGTATTTGAGGTGGTCCGTTCGTAATTTTCAGTCTGTTGCCGTCGTCGTTCCTAGTCTCTGTTCGCATCTAACTGGTGTTGTCGTTGGATTTTGAGATCTGCTTCTTAATCCAAATTGAAGTAAAGTTCCGATGAAGAAGGGTGAGTGGTCTGTTTTTTTTTTTTTTTTTTTTTTTTTTTTTTGCAACTTCCTCTCTTCTGCAAAATAGTTGCTGAAGAAATGTGGAGACTAGGAGTAAGGGCTGGAGATGAAGAGGAAGTGAGACGAGGAGGAAGGGCTGGTGGTGATTCATAGTGATTAAAGAAGCTTTTTTTCATAATTATTGTTTTTTTTTCTTTTTTAAATTATTATTATTGCTTTTTTTTGTTTTTGTTTTATAATAGGTGGCAAATTCTTTTAATTAAAATTACGTATGGCATTTTATCATTTATTCGTTTGACATCAATCCGAGAGTGTATTTCACGTGAAGTGGGATGATGAGGTCGAGTGTTTAATTGACCTACTTTATGAAGGCTTGAAGTGTCCAACTGAAAATGGGGCCAGTTGAGGTGTCTGGCTGACCGTTGAGGACAACTTGAAGGGGCCGTTTATGTATTTCGCCTTTGAAAAAATTCTTCTACTTTTATTGGGCTGGGCTGGATGTTTGCCAATGTTTGTGGGCTGGTCTGGTGCTAAAGTTGTAATGTAAACCAGAAAATTTTGTGGTGTCTCCGTCAATGAAATTGATCTTAGCTGAATGTCCTCGTAATTGGCAGTATTTAATGATAAACTTTGCTTCTTTGCCCCTTCGGCTCCTTCTTCACCAAGAACAACATAGTACTTCAACTTTGGAAGCTTAAAATTTTTATTTAGGGTTACAAATTTAAAGTTAATGATTAATTACTGTTAAAATCGTTTGTGTTGATTATTTATGCTTAGCTTAATAATTTGCTTTAAAAATCACAAAACTGAAGAAGATAGAGTCAATCTTCTTGATTTGATGTGACTTGGCTAAATTGGTGATTGTGGATCATTTGTCTTGGTATTTTGAGGCTTTATTTTAAATTTGAAATCATTTGGAACATATTGGGAGTAGTTTTGATGAAATTAGAATCGCAAATTCGAAGAATATTTTACCGAACAACATAAAATATTATGGCAATTAGGTAGACTTTGATGAACAATTTAATAGATATGTCAATTGTAGATAACACAAAGTTACACAATTGATAGAGTTGCTGAATAATTGAACAAGCACAAAATTATGCAAACCTGTCATTTTTTTTCCATTAAAAAACGGGGCCAAAAATTACATATCAACCCTTATAGGACCATTCCTGTCAATCACTCACTGTGGACTTGGAAATTATTTAGTTTTGTCTATGGGCTTCTTAGATACAATGGTGCCAATGTGATTTTAAGTTGCCCTTGAAATTATCTAGAAAAAAAAATTAACTTTCATTTAATTAAAATTAATAAAAGAAATGGAATGAAAAAAAAAAAAATTGGAGGTGAACGTGTAACAACAAATTTTCCGTCGAGAAAAATAAATAATCAAGACTGAAAAATTGCGTAACAAATGTAGTATTTGATTTCAATAAATGAAAGTGTTACAATCTCTATGGTATTCCTCTGATTCTTCAAGAATATAAAGTATCTTAGTGAGCTTGACTTTGATTTGATTCAAGGGCTTGTAAACCTTGATCTTGAATCTCCTCCTTGAACTTGAATTTGGGTTTGATCACGAACAAGTAATTTGATCTTGAACGCCTTGGTATTTGATTTGGCTTCGTTCTTGATCTTGAACTCGAACTTGAACTTGTAGCTTGAGTGCTTGAACTTGTAGCTTGTAGAGAAATCTGCGGTGTTTGATCCACGAGCTCTCTGCTTGCTTCTTGTTATCACTTCTGGTGTCTTCCAGCTTTATGAAGACCTCTATTTATAGTTGTAGGGGATGGTGTGGCTCTGCGATTTGATTGGTCCGTTTGAACCGACCAATACCATCTTGACATTTGGCATGATTTAATTGCCTCATTTATTTGGCTTGGATTGCCACATCACTTGACACATGGCATGATTTCATTGGCTCATTTATTTGTCTTGGATTGCCACATCACTTGACATGTGGCCTGAGCCTGGGCTTTAAGACGGGCTACTAGCCATTTGGACTTAGGGCTAAGGAAGTGGGCTTATCATTTAATTTGTAGTCCAATTAAATGGACTAGCCCAACACATATATTGGCTTTTAATAATTAGCCCAATTTACTAGCCACAATATTTGTTTGGACTAGTGTCTTTAATTTAATATAGTCCGGACATTTGTGATTTAAAATTTACATGCTTACAAATACCCCCTACTTCAAGACCTGTCGAATATAAAAGTATCGAACTTCAAAGACTGGGCTTGAAGTATAATTGGAGACATCATTTTTTTTAGCCAAATCTTCACGGTATAGCCAGTTTTCGGACTGGTCAATCAAAAATAGCCAGCGTTTACCAAGTCAATGAAAAATAGCCACCATTTTGCTGCAATAGAGACCGGTCCAGCATAATATACTGGAGTTCGGTGCACTTGTGTATGAACTCCAGCATATTATACTGACTGGTATACTTTGCTGGCTCCAATATAATATACTGGAGACTGGAGCACTGGTGCTCCAAACTCCAGTATGTTATACTGGACCATTATACTTGCTGGAACTCCAGTATATTATGCTGGAGTTCTAGTGTATTTATGCTGGAACTCCATCATATTATGCTGGAGTTCCAGCATATTATGCTGGAACTCCAGGATAATATGCTGGAGTTCAAGTATACTTATGCCGGAACTCCAGCATAATATACTGGAGTATTTTCCGGGTTTTGAACAATGTTTTCGCTCAGATTTATCTTTACATAAAAAGTGGCTAAATTTCGATTACTTTTGAAATTGGGCTATTTTTGAACGACCAGTTATAAATCTGGCTATTTTTAAAAATATCCTTTTTTTTTTTTTTTAGGTATGCCTTTATCCAATTATATGGGAACATGACTTTGGGTAGTTTACCAACTTGAAGGCTTCTTTTGTAGAATTTATTTCCAACGGGCTTACTGGCTTTGCTGTGAGAGCCGCATTTCAAAAACTCATGTGATATATAATTCTAAAGAATTTATTTTGCAAAGTCCTTGTATATTTTAAATGGATAATGTAAAAGTTTCCAAGTCAAATACACTCGAACTTCTTTTTTTTTTTTTGGCCCGTAAGAATTAGTAAAATTGTGAGAACTAGATATGTTGAGAAGGAATTTTGGAAAATGTTTTTCCTTTGCTTGATAAGAAAAATATTTTCCTCCAATTGGAGGAAAATGAGTTGATGAGGAAAATATTTTTCAAAACATTTAAGCCAACCAAACATGGGAAAATTGAAAAATATTTTCCGGAAAATATTTTCCTTCGTACCAAACACACCCGTAATTGGTCTAGAATATATACTTAAGTAACAAAAACTAAAATCCTTAAACTTTTCCGAATCCGTGGCACCTATATACAGAAAGCTGCGAAATTAGAACGTTCAACTTTAGTTCCGGAACCGCCCTGTTCTCTCTTTCGGGGCAAACCAAAACCCGCGCAATTTTGCCGTCTTTATTCTACTC